AGAACCCCTACGCTGCAGGAATGTACAGATCCACAGCTTTTTATCTGAGTTTGTTAAGGAGCAACAGCACTGCATCTACCTGACTGTGTAGAAAATTGCCCAGGTGTGTCCTGTACACAAAAAATAGGACAAACGTATCTCAGCCTATTACCACCCATCAGTTCACTCTTGATCACCAATACAGTGGTGGAAAAGGGACATCAACAGTGCCCTTAAGCAGCATGTGCTTTGCAATAACCTGTTTACTGATGTTCAGTTTGTGTTCCGCCAGGACCACTCAGAGGTGGGGTAAAAGTGAACGCCCTCAACATCAAGACCACAAATTGCACAGTCAAATAGTGTGGCATGAAGGAGCCATAGGAAAACTAGAGTCAATAGGAATTGGGGAGAAAACTCTCTACGGGTTGGACATGCTGAGCACAAAAGAAGATGATTGTTTGTTGGTCATTCATCTCAGCTCTGGAACATGTCTGCAGGAGTTCCTCAGGATAGTGTCCTAAGACCAATCATCATCTTCAATGCTTTGTCAATGACCTTCCTGCCATCATAAGGTCACAAGTGGGAATGTTTGCTGATGATTACACAATGTTCAACACCATTCACAATTCCTGAACTGTAGCAAGACCTGGACAATAATCAGCCCAGGGCTGACAAGTGGTAAATAATATTCATGCCACACAAATGCCAGGTGATGTCCATCTCCAATAAGAGATAATGTAACCACTGTCTCTTGACATTCAATGGCATTACAGTCACTGAATCCTCCGCTATCAACATTCTGGGAAGTTACCATTGACCAGAAACATAAATACTATGGTTACAACAACAGGTCAGGGGCTAGAGATCCTGCAGCAAGTAATTCACCTCCTGACTCCCCAAGACATGCCCACCAACTAAAAGGCACAGGTCAGGAATGTGATGAAATACTTCTGACTTGCCTCGATGGGTGCAGCCCCAACAACACACAAGGAGCTTGACACCATCCAGCACAAGCAGCCCATTGGGTTAACACCCCATTCACAAACATTCACACCATCCATCACTAATGATCAGCAATAGTAGTGTGTACCATCAACATTGCAGATATTCACCAAGGTCCCTTAGACAGGGGTTCTAAACCAACAACCACTACCATCTGCAAGTTCCCTCCAAGCTCCAAACCACCCAGACTTGAAAGTATATCATATTCCATTAGGGTTGCTGGATCAAAATCCTGGAATTCCATCCTTAATAATATTTTGGGTGTACCTACACCAATTGGACTGCAGCAGTTTAAGAATGCAGCTCACATGACGCTGTCAAGGGCATTTAAGGAAGGTCAATAAATGCTGGTCCATTCAGCAAAGTCCACTTACCCTGAAAGATTTTTTTTATTAAAAAGCAGTGTGAAGGATCTATTTTATCACAGAAGCTGTGACAGTGCTTTGCCACCTACTGCAGCAAACAGAGCAGCTCAACACAAAGTTACATACATGCTGCTTGAATCTCTCAATGTTACCATGGCTTTGAAATTGCATATTTCAGGGCCATTCCAGTCTGCGGCAAGTGACTTCTGCAATCTCGGACAATCAGCTATTCAAGTCAGAATTTTCTGGGTGAATAAAAGATCTTTGCCACAGCCAACCACTCCATCTCCTTCCCATGAATGCATCGAAGCAGGAAGTCTCCAGGGTTGCAGAGCTCCTTTCAGTGCTGAGCATCATCTCCTATTGCCTGGAACAGGATCTCTGCACTTTGTCTAAAACACTGGCGAGCAGACTGGGAGAGGGTTGCGAGAGATTTTGGAACCAAATATCTGATCTGTGCTTCCCTTCAAACTTAGCAGCTGGAAATGGAGAAGCCCAGGGCCTGTATTCTTGGGAGATCAATTACAGATGCCAAGGGTTTCTACTGAGGGACATGAATGCTCCATAGTTAACTGGTTTCGTACAAAATGGTCACAGAGAAGTTAAGAGTTGTTTCCACCACACGAGTCAAGATGTTGTGTAGTTTGTCTGATATGTAGACCTCTGCAATGATAATTCTTGATTGCTTGTCTGATAATCTTTTGAAAGCTGGGCCTTAGAATTCTGCAGTTGTGTTATGAAAGTGGGGTTGACCTCTGCTGGGCTGAATCCTGAATTGTGTTCTAATTCCATCCTTTTACTTGTGCAATTGTGTTCCTCCATCAGTAAATCTTGTCTCCTCTACGTCACAAAGTGATGGCTTATGAGCTGGTGCTTGAAATTTTAAATAGAAATTATGAGGGATCTTCAATTCTAAATTCTTCCTTCTTCTCTTTGACTGTTGTGGACCTAACGTTTCATCAGAAAAGATAAGCTACATTAAAAATTGGAAAAAGAGTCAATTTGGGTTCACCCTTTGCAGCCTCCTTGCAGTCTGGTTCAGAAGAGATTAGAGGAGTTTCATTCACAATTCTTCAGATAATGAAGCATTTCCTGTGCTCACAGATAAAAAGGATGTCACCAAGCTCTGGTTGACAAATGGGAAGTAGCATTTGTTTCGTATAAGTGCCAGGCAATGATCACTTCGACGAGGAGTCTAATTACCTCCTCTCTGCATTCAGTGGCAGAACTATTGCCAAGTTTGTCCCACCATCAGAAACTCAGCTGGTCTAGTCACATGAAAGGAGAGACTCCTAAAAAAAATCACAGGGTAAAAATTCAGTGGTGAGTGATTCACTTCCTGAATCCACAAAACCCTTTTACTTATTACGAGGTACAAGTCAGGAGTGCAAAAGAGAATTCTGTGCTTGCCTGGATGGATGCAACTGGACCACTTGAGAATCTCAATGCTTTCGAGGGAAAAGGCAGTCAACTTGATCAGCACCTTTTCAGGCACTCTTGGCACCAATGCATTCTAGCTTCACTGTGTTTTATCTATAGAATACACTACAACAACTCCACAAAGCTTCTTCAATTACACCTTCAAAACCTGTAAACTCTACTACTTAGACAAGAACAGCAGTCACATGGGAAAACTACTACCTCCACCTTTCTCCTCAAGTAAGCACTGTCTGGATTTGACTTAGATTGTCATCTCGTTGTCACTGGATCAATATCCTCGCACTTAGTGGCAGTGCGGAAGAATCTTTAACACATGGACCTCAAGGATACGACTTACTTGCATTTTCTCAAGGTAACTAGGGGTATGCAAAAAGACAGGATCAGCCAGCAATGCCCACACCCTGATTTTTTTTTTAAAACTAGGGCTCAATGCAAAGGATCAATGATGCATCATACTAGGACATCTGGGAAGGGAATGGAAGATAAATCTGAACTGAAAAATTGTCAAGAAGAAGAGCAGAAGTGTTGCCATTGAAACTTCAAATTGTAATTAATTTTATGCAATGTAATTAAATTGTGGTTCAAAATAAATTGCAGAGAGGTGTGAAGGATTGCATTTACAGAGAGTAGGCCTTGCTATCTTGCAATGAACCATGTGTTCAGTTGATGCATCTAAATGAACTTTATTAAGGATTTCCATTTGCAAAGGTGAGAATTGAGGTCATTAATAAAAAGCAGAAATGTGAATTTAAATGCATCATGTGTATGGATTGCTAAACTATATACTCAGATAGAAATCACGACCATTGTCATGCACTTATTAGAATAGGCTTGCACAGAAACTGTTCGTGGAAATTGTGCTTTTGTGAATGAGCACATTTAAAATAGAAAATGTCTCATCTGTATTGTCCAGTCAATTGAACAGACATCCGTCTCACAATAATATGGAACAATGCTACATTTTTTTTAGGATTAAGCTATTATTGTATGGAAAACAATGGAAGGTCATGTATGCTCAAGTTTGATTTATGAGGAATGTTATTTTAATAATTTTGCTACCAAAGCCATTTAATGTCAATCGTTTCGAAAAGTGCAGTTTGAGTGTATGTTAAGGCAGACCATGTACCAAAACAATGCCGAGTTGTTTTGACTAACTTTTGTAGGTTGTTTAGAAAAGTTAATGACAGTATTGTGGTATAAACTTTTCTGAAACAGCATCCTGGAATGTACATAAACCAGTTAGTATTTTTTTCTCACTTTCTCTTTCTGTTTAACTTGCTCATATGTTCTTTTTTCTTGTTTGTCACTATCACTCTCAGGTTCTGTTTCTTTGCCTTTTGCTTCTTGGTATTAGGAGCAACCAGTGAGATGTGATTTCAAAGCAGTTTTAATTTATTTCCAAGTGGGCATCAGTTCACAGCACAGGAAGATGTTTCAACACAAAACAACAGTCTGAGCTATGAGACCAATAATTGATCATGAAACTTGTAAATATTACTTAGATACAAAAGAGAACATTCATTTGAGATGGGATTGAAGTTTATTGCAAGGGGAACTGAGCGTGGCATTATATCTTCGTTACAACCCATTCTTGAAACGCATTACCTTACAACATAATACTGGCCCTGGGACCAAAGTAAAGACCAAAACCTTTTTGTAGGTCTGTCACTTCTTATCTGCATAACAGCCAAAATTACATGGGGTGAACTGCACTGTGTAATATCGGTTAATGAGTGAATTAACATGAAATTACTTTGCTGTTTTAATAGAAGCATGACTGCAATTATTTAAATGCTTCCTTTAAAATAGGAGGCAAGGCAATTATGGATACCTGGGAAGCTTGTAACTAATTCATGGGCTGAAACATCGGCTTAAACCACAGGATAAATCTCTAACAGTTCAACAAATGTCATCTGTAGATTATAGATTGTAACACACCTTGTGATTTTACACAATTATATATCATGGTTAACATACAATGTTTTAGTTTCAAAAGAGCAACTGCAACCTGTTAGTATTGTACAGAGTGCATGGTGTGCCCACAGCAAGATCTTGGGACTTACGCAAGCTGTTACACTCCTTTCTGAAACAGTTAATAAAGGATTATTATTTCACTTGACTGAAGCTTCTTAGGATTTTTTGTGATTGACTGCGGGTTATGCAGTACAATAGTTCTGAATCCAAAATGTAATTTGTTTCATCATTTAATCACAGGTAAACAATGCAACAGCAAGAGTAATGACAAACAAGAAGACCCCCAATCAATACACAAATGGTAAGGTAATCAGCAGCTGCTGATTTAAGTTATTTCTATGGAGACTGCTGTTGATAAAAAAAAAATGGAATATACAGTTAAATCAGGACTTAAGAAGTAATATTAAATAATGAAGGTATGCTTGCTTAGAGCTATGTTTCTCCTTTTGAGTTGAGCACCTTCTATGTATGAACTTTTGTGGTAAGCACAAAACAGTTTTCTTTGGACTGTTTCTATAGTGTTGACTTGAAGGAATCAAGAAAACACAATAGGAATATGGACACTTGACCCTGGGGGTGCCAAAGTTGCTGTGTTGGACAAACTCAGAAAAAGCCTGTGATGAGTAAGAGCTCCCTGTGTTGTGTCAAATTATACTTGCATATGCGTTCATGTACAAGAAAAATTACTGATCTGAGCAACAGAAGATTAGTTTCCACAAGGACGAATTAATAGGTTTTCAACTTCAATTACACTATTTTTAAACCTGTGGGAAGTAACTTGTAGCAGCAATTAAAACTGCACTGCTCCAGATTTGATTCATTCTGGCCAACATATTGTAGTGCTCAGTATCATCAAATCCATAGAGCAGAATATCCAAGCACCTACACAGATAGGGAAGATTAGCCTATATAGATGACACAAGTAAGTATTGTTAGCAATTTTGTTGAATTAAATTAATTTTGTTGCAACAAAAAGAATGGCACCACAAAATTGTCCACAACTTCTAAGAAATTGTTAATGCTTTCTTGTAATTACAACACCCTTTCCAAATTTGAACTGGAAGGTCAGATGTCTTTTCTATTTAATGATCAATAACAGAAAAAATGTCATTGTGTGTTACAGTGTGAACTCCTTTTATAGCTTTTACAGATAAGCATCTACAGCGGGTTCCGCTCGCACGGTTGACTAACAAATCTTTGAATTGAGTAACATGTTGAGATCTGTTTGAATTTGCATGGAAAACATTTTCTTCTGGTGCTACTGAGAGAGATTGATGTCCACATAGGCAATGTCTCTGCTTCATATTACTAAGAGGTTTGAACCCCTACTTTTACTCCACCTGAAGCCTGTTATTAATGTGGGGACCTTTCTGACTCCCAACAGTGTTACTGGAGCTGAATGGACCACGTTTAATCTGCAATCTAGAGATATTGAGAAACCAGTTATGAAGTTTCACTGAAGCAAGTCATCTTGGCATTAGCCAAAATGAAGTCATTGTAAAGGGGCCAGATTAAGTTTCATATTGCCTCATGTTAAGGGATTTTTCCTTCTCTACTGTTGCCAGGCCCTCCAGCAAGAACTCATAAACTGCAAGTGAAACATTTGTCCCTCCTTAAACTTATTTTATTGTTTCTTCCCAGTCTTCTTCATGAAAGGAAAACCTAGTTCCATTGCAATACTTGACAGATTAGAAGATAAGACACTTGTAAACTTAATTTGTATTTTCTACCCATACGCATAGCAGTCATGCTTTAGGAAATATTTTAGAAGATGAATCTAAAATTCTCTATCCTACTACATTGTAATTGCTTCAAAATAGATGTTATTCTACCACTGAGGAAATATAAAACCTTACGCCACTTAACCCAGCAATATAACTAATGACCATTGCCACTGGGATTTTGATCCACTAGGTTGCAGACCCAGACAGGAGGGTCCCAAAGTTGGTGTCCCAGTGGCAAATTCAGCAGATCCTGGGATAGTTAACACCACAATTAACTGAAGAGCTATACTGGACTTGAAACACTAACTCTACTTCTCTCCATGCAGATGCTACCAGACCTGCTGAGCTTCTCAGCACTTTCTGCTTTTATTTCAGATTTCCAACTATTCAGTTTTCTTTTGTTGTTGTTGTTGATATTATTTAATTATTTTAAGCTCCTGGGTGAAGAAAATCAATTGAGGCAGACTTCTGTTTGTGGTTAAGAAATCACTGGCAGAAATGTGTGTGAGTTTAGTGTCAGGTGAGGAGTGGGCTACGTTGTGATGTTATTGCAATGGAACTAGGTTTTCCTTTCATGAAGAAGATTGGGAAGAAACAATAAAATAAGTTTAAGGAGGGACAAATGTTTCATTTGCAGTTTGAGTTCTTGCTGGAGGGCCAGGCAACAGTAGAGAAGGAAAAATCCCTTAACATGAAGCAATATGAAACTTAATCTGCCCCCTTTACAATGACTTCATTTTGGCTAATGCCAAGATGACTTGCTTCAGTGAAACTTCATAACTGGTTTCTCAATATCTCCTACCTGTTCCTCGTCAATAGGTTTATATGGATAATGATCCTTGGGAGACAGTACAGCGGTAGACCTCTATGTGTAGAAACATAGTTCAAGGAAAGAGAGAGATTGGATAGACTGGGTTTGTCTTTCTTGGAGCAGTGGAGATTGAGGGGTATAAAACATGTATAAAATTATGAGTGACATAGAAGGGCAGACAGGAAGGAACATTTCCTCTTGGTGGAGGGATCAGTGACGAGGATCATAGATTTAAGGTAAAAGGCAGCAGATTGAGAGCAGATGTGAAGAAAAACTTCTTCACACAGAGGGTGGTGGGAATCTGAAACTCACTGCATTTAAGGGTGGTAGAGGCAAAAACCCTTAAGATTTAAGAAGAATTTAGCTGTGCATTTACAATGCCAAGGCACACAAAGCGCTGGGCCAAGTGTTGCAAATTAGGATTAGAATATTTAGGTGCGTGCTTTTGCCTGGCACAGGTTCATTGGGTAGAAGGGCTTTTTTCTGTGTGGTAGACCTTTGTGACTCTATGATACTAAAGTACTGGAGTACCAGGAGAATGCGTTAGGTATTTGCATATCAATATCCCGTCGCGTAATTTTAGGATCCAAGCATTATACTTAACTGATTGGTAAAATAGACCGTGTGCCCAGTTTTTCTTTGTAATTTGTAAAGATATATTTTCTGCCATTGGATACTAAAAATTCACTTCAACAGTTACTGAGGAAAAAGTTTGAAGTATATTGAACAGCTACAATAAGTTAAGAAAAATATTTGAATACATGTACAGTTTGAAGTGTGAAAATCCTATATCTGGACTGTCCAAATTGTAATAGGTAAAGCTCAAGGAGGAACCATGCTTCCAGAACAGTCGGAGTTCTCACCTTTGCAACCATTGGACTCATACTTAGATCACTTTGCCCTCCAAACACACCACCATAACGTTCAGAAAAAATTGGATTTGTTAATGGCTGCAGACACCAGTGTTAATTGATATCAAGGAGATCTTTGAACAAGAGAGGTTGCAAATATCCACTGGACATCTTTCTCCTCAGGTCATTTGTTTATGAATAGTGTGAAATAAACCAAATTTTTTTTTTTAAATGTTGTCAAATAAAGCCAGTTCAGGATTGTGACTCTAGATTTGTTGCCTGCTCTGATTTAGATCTACTAACTTTTCACAAATCAAACAGTTTGCAAACAGGATGTCAGTGATTGAATGGCAAGTTTTCAATAACTTTGCTGACATGTTGATCGAATAAGTTAACATCTACCTTTTGTTTGTTTTGTTGTCATAAACTAGTAAGAAGAAGAATTTATACTGATGGAACATCATGAAGACAATACTCTCATAATAATGTGACTTAAATTGCAGTGCAGGAAAAAACAATCAATTTGAACCTGAAGGCCCATACCTAAAACCTTTGTTTCCTAATGTTGATCATGAATGAGTTAATTTTGCAATGACAGAAAATGGTACTTTTGACAGCTGCATGGTGTTTATTGGTAGAGGATTAACCAATAACCTACATTAAGTGGATTTGATTTTAAATTAAACTAAACAATGATTGCTATCTAAAGCAAAAAGATTAGCTCAAATTTTCCTTGGTCATTATATTGACAAAGTCAAGCTTAAAATTGACAATAGGAACACGGAAGTCAGTTTATTTCATTGAATGGTGAGGATTTGGACATCGACTCAAATAATTATAATCAAAAGCGTTGTTGTCTGGTTGGCTATTTTGAATATAACAGAGCGATAAACTGTTTCAGACTGTAGTTAAAAAACAGCAAGATTTTCCATTTGTTTAAGTGTTGTAAGCAACACTAGTCACTCATTTGCTTTCCATTATGAAACTAAGTTTCCTTTTTCAATTAAAATCTAGGGACAGTCATGTGTGGACTTTATATTGCATGCCATTGTATCCACACTGGGAGTTGAAAACCATCTGTAAATTAACAATTTGATTAAAATATCACACAGAGGAATTGAACACCAGTGTGTCAGCTGGTGAATGAAAAATAGTATAAAGGAGGAACTTTAACACACATGTTAGAAATTGTGACCCTTTGCACTTATTTCACCAGTGAGTTCATGTTATGAAAGATTTTTCTTATAAGTGCAACTAACTGTGTGATTACTGTGTATGGTTTCAAAATGATTGTTTTAATTTGTCAAATTTAGTTTCCAAAGAGAATGATGACTGCACTCTGAGTCTACATTTTCCAGGAATATCAGCCTGGATTTTCTGATCCACATTATTTTCAGTGCTTGAATATTAACATCAACTAAAGAACCTACGAAAAGAAAAATTGGAATTTTTTTGTGATTAATTTTAAATAAGATTTTCTTTTGTTAATTAAAAGCTGCATAGTATTGTTTACACTCTGACACTGTTAGAATGGAAAGGGAAGAAGATTTACTCTATTAAATTTATGAAGGATGGATTTATAGTTTTGCTCTTGGATCAGATTGACAGCATGTAAATAGAGCGGACCTGGAGAGTACGAACTGGCAAAAAGTCATATATCAAGCACCGAAATAAATTTGTAATATTTACCAGCTCTTAAATAACTATGTTTGTCCACATGTGTCAAACAAATATTGTTTTTATGCCAAGTGATCCTCCTGTATTTGTTTGCATTCTTTTATCTTGTCAATAGGGAGTCTTGTTAAACTAACCTTCTCGGCTACGTTGATGATTCTGCATGAATAATATATTGTAGTAAATAAATACAAGTGTGAATTTAAAGTCATGCTGTAATTACCAATCCTATGTGTATGAAAGTGACTCCTAAGCTGCAAGTGAAATGAGTGCAAAGCTCTGAAGTTGGCTATGATGAATGTAGTTTGCTGTTGCAAAGCTGTTTCACATCAGACCTGTCTCTTCTTTCAGGCTGGAAATTAAATCCAGTCGTCGGAGCTGTCTATGGCCCAGAGTTTTATGCAGGTAAATAATTTTACAAGTCAGAAAATAAGTGAAAGCAATAAAGAAACCTGCGGGATAGCAGTATGAAAAGGAGAAACAGAATGATTGAAATGAAAGCAGGTGACAGAAAGAGCTCATTTTTCATTTTTATTTCCTTTTCCTGATGCTGTACCAAATCATCTTTAATGGATACTGCCTTCATTTCAAAGCAAGGCAGTCTGTCGGCTCACTTGATTAATTTACCGCAAATCTTTTTCTCTCCCCTTACCATTGTACTGCAGTTTGCCAAGTCTAAACGCTACCATATGTTTTGTATTCCCCGGAGAGGCAGTAAATAGCCGTCTTTGCCTGGCCACATTCCTTGGATATATTCACAAATAATTATCGAAGGATTTAATATATTTTCAAAAGGAATAAACTGGATAGACAGTAATTAATCACTGTTTATCAACAGGCTCTCTGTACTAGAGTTCAGTGCTATCAGTCACTGTAAATCCAGTATTGATGACAGGCAAGTCTCCCTTCATTCATCCCCAGGCTTAGTTTTATTATAGCCAAATCTGCTTCGCCACAATGACAAATGGAGCTGTAACCTGTTTAAAGAGACTCTATCCCTTTTCTGTTACCCTGCACAGTCCAATTTTCTACCCAATATTTTACATAAATATCATCTTGTTTTGCTGATGGAGGCCTTCTCACAGTTAGAAATTGATTTAAAAACTCTTGAGTGCAGCTTTTAAACCTGCTGCAGCCAGCATCCAATGATCTGCTTGTCGATTTCCAGACAGTTCCATGAATTCAAAATGAAGCAGCAAGTGATCACAGCTTACTTGGGGTTCTTTGAAACCAGGAATATCAGAAAGTAGATCACTGCAGTAATTTTTTTTTAAAATTACATTTAACCCTTATCCAGCTGTGTGGAAGAAACAGATTAAGGGGTAGCGTAGTCTCTTTTTGAACCATTGTTCTACAATTTTGTCACAACTCTTTCCACAACTTAACAAGAAAATCATTTTAAAGTCAAGTAAATGGACTCAATAAGAGACTATTGCTTCCTTTTTAAATAGTTACCAGTACAGCAGGTAAAGGTCATTAAAAGATTGTTCTAGTTTTAAAGCCAGAATGCCTTGTGCCTGTTTAATTGTTTTTATGCAACACATCAATAATTACATACTTTAGGTTTTATGGTTACCCAAAACTCAGGTGAAGGATGAGAAGTCGGGGTGCACAATGTCTTCTCAAAATGTATTTCCACTTTTAATTCCACTGACCTATGAGTCACTTCAAGGCACATTGATTTAAATCGCAGACATATAAATTAATTACTTTTTTAAAAAACAATTATTCAAACGGGTGGATTTTCTTAACTGCCACCCAGATACCCGAAGTGTCGACTTTCCTGCTCCTCTGATGCTGCCTGACCTGCTGTGTTCCTCCAGCTCCACGCTGTGTTGACTTTGCAGATATGCATTGCTCAGCTGTGCAGTTGGTGAATTTGCCAAACCTTTGAGGAATTCGCATTGTTGAAAGATTAACAGAATATTTGGAGCAATGATTTACATGCAGTATATTCTCAATTAGTCCAGTCAGTACAGGAGAAGTTAAAATTGCTTTGCAGAGAATGTCTTTCTGTTATATTGATGTCAGCCATCTTACATAGAACAATACCTGATCAAATGTGTGACTGATTCGGAGAGAAGATGATTAATCCAGTGTTTAATCTTCTGTTGATTAGCATTTTAATTGAATAATCAGTAGAGCTGTGATAACTCATTCACTTGTTACTGGTTACGGTGATGTAATTGTGGCTGAGAGGATTCCCTTCCAAACCATTTCTACGCTGGATATAGATAATCCAAACTGTGAATGAAAATGTCTTCAGCAATAAGTCCTCAACAATAGGACATAGTATAGGGTTGAAATACACTGCCAACGTAGTAAGGAGACTAATGGCATTGTCTGGCATTTGTCCAGATAATTCAGCTACACTGACTAATATTGCTTCAGATGTACAAGCTGCAAATACTTCTTTTTTCTGGGTTTCTTCAAAGCAGGAAGCACCATTGTACATTTGGATGTACATGTATTGTATGTATACTTGTGCACGCACAAGTGTTTTGACTACCTATGTCATTCAAAATGCCCAGTGCTTGTCATAAGTATCCTGACAAGATATTTATCTACCAAGATCAGTTTATGCCTGATGGGAATGTAATCCTTGTTTGATGTGAACAACACGACATTCCATTGTCAAGCTATGTATTGGATTTTGAGTTGTTAGCTCCTTACTTTAGGCTAGAACTGGATAATGCCATGACTAGATCATTGCCACAGGAGACATGGGGAACCCTTGGCGGTTTTGTTTCTGGAGTCCTGGATTCAAGTCCATCTATTCCAGAGATGAGTAATAACATCTCTGCACAGGTTGTTTATAAATTATCTCCAGAAAGCCAGTTAATGATCTGGGAACATAGGTTCAAATTCCATAATAGCAAAATAATTTTTAAAAATCTGGAATTAAAAGTGAATGTAATGGTGATCATAAACCCATTGTGGATTGTCGTATAAACCCTTTAGGAATGAGTTCCTCTTAAGGAAGGAAAATCTGCCAATCTCACATAGTCTGGCTGACATATGAAACCACACGTAGTAAAGTGATCGACTCTTAATTGCCCTCTGAAATTGCATAGGAAACTATTTAGTTGCATCAAACTTCTGTCCCTTCAGTACCGCTGGATCAAAATCCTGGAACTCCTGTCCTAACAGCTCTGTGGATGTGTCCAACTCCCAAGGACTGTAGCAGTTCAAAATGTGGCACCACCACCTTCTCAAGGACAATTGGGGATGGGTAATAAATACTGGCCCAGTCAGTAATACCCAAATCCTGTGACTAAATAAAAATGTTGCAGTTAGAACTGCTTTGATTTTGGCTCTGCATTGAAATTTTCAGGGCACATTTACATTCCTACGATTAGTGTAAATGTTCTCATGTAACAAGGGTATTGAGCATTGCAATCATGGGCATTTGCTTTTCTCAGCTTTTACTTTTCCAGAGATGCCCAATTTACTCATACAGCATGTCAACAGTGAAGTTTCTATCCCAAGAGGAAACTACTCTTTATATTTGATCATTTCAAGTTAATGCTGTTTGCACAAGGCATTGTAAGGAGTAAAACAGCCACCTATCTACATTTACAAGGAAATTTTTTTTTTCTTTATTCATTCACGGGATGAGGGCATTGCTGGCTAGACAGCATTTGTTGCTCATCCCTAATTGCCCATGGTGCTGTTAAGAGTCAAATACTAAATAAAAAGCAAAATAATTGCAGATGCTGTAAATCAGGAACAAAAACAGAAGATGCTGGAAAAGCTCAGCGGGACTGGCAGCATCTGTGAAGAAAAAAAATCAATGTTAACGTTTTGGGTCTGGTGACTCTTCCTCAGAACTGATGGTAGCTGGGAAAACATCGGTTAAAATGCAGAAAATAGGGAGGAGGATGGGGTAGGGAGTAAACAAGAGGATAGAGCCCGAAGGATCTGGCAAGGAGGATGAATAGTTGTTTGACTGGGTGACTGCTTCGCAGGACATCTACATTCTGCTTGCAAAAAAGTCCCTGAACTACCTGAGACAACAAGGTGTAAAGCTGGACGAACACAGCAGGCCAAGCAACATCAGAGGAGCAGGAAGTCTGACGTTTTGGGCCTAGACCCTCCTTCTGAACTACCCGTTGCCTGCCACTTTAGTGCACCACCCTGTTCCCTGGCCAACATCTCTGTCCCTGGCTTGTTGCAGTGTTCCAGTGAAGCTCAACACAAGCTGGAAGAACAACATCTCATTTTCCGCTTGGGGACCCTGCAGCCCTCCGGACTCAATATTGAGTTCAATAATTTTAGGGCCTAAACTCTCCCATGTCCTAGCGCCCTACCCCACACACCAGGCCTTGTTACCACATAGCCTGCCATTACACATTATCTATTGTTAGTCTTTCTAACAGTGCCCATTAACAACTATTCACCCTCCCAGCCTGATCGTTATCAACACCTTTGTCTGTCCAACTGCTGTTCTGTCTCTTTGGGCTCTAGCCTATCGTTTACTCTCTACCCCATCCCCCTCCCTATTTCTGCATATAAACCAACATTTTCCAAGCTACTGTCAGTTCCGAGGAAGGGTCACCGGACCGGAAATGTTAACTCTGACTTTTTCTTCACAGACCTGCTGAGCTTTTCCAGCAACTTCCATTTTTGTAGCAGTTAAGAGTCATATATATGTATATTATATATATATTTCGGGTCATATAGTCATCCAGCAGGGAAACAGACCCTTCGGTCCAACCAGTCTGTACCGACCATAATCCCAAGCTAAACTAGTCCCACCTGCCTGTGCTTGGTCCATATCCCTCCAAATATTTCCCATTCATGTGCTTGTCTAAATGTCTTTTAAATATTGTAACTGTAGCTGCATCTATCACTTCCTTTGCAAGTTCATTTCACACATGAATCACTTTCTGTGTATAAAGATTGCCTGTCATGTCTTTTTTAAGTCTTTCTCCTCCCATCTTAAAAGTTTGCCCCCTAGTCTTGAAATCTCCCCCTCCCTCAGGAAAAGACAAATGCCATTCACCTTACCTATTTACCTCATGATTTTATAAATGTTTATAAAGGTCGCTTCAGTCAACCACATTGCTGTGGGTCTGGAGTCACATGTAGGCCAGACCAGGGAAGGAAGGCAGTTTTAAAGGATGTTAAAGATGGGTTTTCCCCTGACAATTGATTCATGGTCATCATTAGATTCTTAATTCCAGATATCTTATTGAATTCAAATTCCACCACCTGCCATGGTGGGATTTGAACCTGGGTCTCCAGAACATCATTTTGGTTTCTGGATTAACAGTCCAGTGATAATACCACTAGGCTATCGCCTTCCCAAAGGCAATGAATTCTCACTAGTTGGATGTTTCTGCCCCTTGGGCTGCAGTGGGAGATGTAGTGTAGATATGGTAGCCAGTGTGCTGATTAGAAGT